ATATATATATATATGGAGAGAGAATGTTCACAAAATAGAAGTTAATAAAGTAGGGAGAAGTTAAAAGAACTGAATTTTTAGAAAATTAAAATTTAAAAAAGACATGCAAAGTAGAAGTTCACTGTTTTCTTTCCCTTCTTTCGCTTTTTGGGGGTGGTGCTAGACCCTGAACTCAGCTGGATGTTCACCTTGTACATGATGAGCATGTGTTTGACTATTGAGCTACACACCCAACCTCCCATATTTTTATTTTTAGATTTCACAGTACTATATACTCAACTAAGTTAGTAAAAGTCTCTATACAGTTATTTTCAGTTACTTCACTTCTTACAGTGCAGATAGACTATTTAGGGACTGCCTCTAGTCCATGGCCCATCCTGAATAGTTAAGTGTACTGATGATAACTTTTAAGGTTTCTGCAGCAGAATTGTGGGCCTCTGTGGGTACAATATAAAGCATGGGAAACCAAAGCCAGGATAAGAGTAACAAACGAGTTAACAATTATAAGTAGAAAAATAAATACTTTATAAAAGGCAATGATCAGAAAATATATCTCTGTACGCTTGAAATGCATCATTTGTGGCTTTCTTTTATTTTTTAATTAATTACTTTTTGTTGCTAAAGATCAGTTTTCAAATCAAAGCAAGATCTATGTATTCCCCGCTTAAAAGGCAACTGGGAAGTGCTTGTTAAAAAAAAATCACAATCTCTGTAACTGGAGCCCAGGAATGTATGTTTTTTTAAGTCTCTCTTCTTCCCCCAGGTAATTCTTATTATAGAGTGTTATTGCTGTGATCATTTTAGTTGTGTATGTACATGTTAAATGATAAAATGGAACAATTAACAATACTTTAATTTTTTTCTTAGTTATATCAGAGGAAGAAAATGAACTAGGGCTCTTTTTAAAGTGTCAAGCAGAACGGGATGCATCGCAGGCTGGCAAAATGATGGATGCCACTGGCAAGGCACTCTGTTCTTCGGCCAAGCAAAGGTTTACCATGGCTTTCATCATCTTTAAATCTGTAATCATTGTGACAATTTTGACATATGTACTTAAATTTTACTCTTTTTGTTTGTTTGTTTTGGTTTGGTTTTTTTTTTGTACTGGGGATCGAACTGGGGACCTTGCGCTTGTGAGGCAGGCAATGGAACAACTGAGCTAAATCCCTGGCCCTTAAATTTTTTTGTTTTGTTTTTTTGAGACAAGGTCTCACTATGTAGTTAAGACTGACCTGGAACTCACTATGTAGTCCAGGCTGGTCTCAAACTCACAGTGATCCTCCTGCCTCGGCCTCCGGAGTAGTGGGATTACAGGCATGCACTACCACGCCCAGCCCCTAGCACTTAAATTTTACATTTGGAGAGGAAAGGTCACTGATCATCCCAATAAAGAGTTATTACAGTATGCAACTTTGTGATGCCTAGCTCTTAATTATTAATTTTGTATTCAAAAGAATTATTTAAGAGCCAGGCGTGGTGGCGCACGCCTGTAATCCCAGCACTTGGGAGGCTGAGGCAGGAGGATCGCTGTGAGTTCGAGACCAGCCTGGGCTACATAGTGAGTTCCAGGTCAGACTCAACTACACAGTGAGACCCTGTCTCAAAAAACCAAAAAAAATTATTTAAAAATTGATGTTCTTGGTTGCTTAATTCCTAGAAATAGCTTTATGTCTGCATTTTTATTTCATAAGTGTTTTAATGTAGCAGAGTTACACTATGGCTAATTTAAAAAAGATTTTCCTTTCACTTTTTTTTTCCTTCAGTAGTACTGGGAAGTAAAACCAGGATCCTTTTGCATGCTGGCCAAGTGCTCTACTACTGAGTTACATAAATTCATAAATATATCTGCTACACAGACTCTCCTGTAATTTTTAAGTATAGCCAAAATCTTTGTATTTTAGAAGAATGAAAACAAGCTGAGCATGGTGGTACATGCCTGTAATACTAGCATTTGTGAGGCTGAGGCAGGAGAATCTCTACCTGGGCTATATAGTAAATTAAAGTCCAGCCTGAACTACATGAGGAAACCCTGTCTTGACTCCTTCTCCCCATGACAGAAAGAAAAAAAAGAATAAAAGAAAATAGGCCTTCTCGGGCCTGTAATGATGATATTCAACTTTGGTGGCTTTATTTTGAAGTTCCACATCAGTCCATATTGAAGGAAGTAAGAAAGAGATACTACAGGGCCCTCTAGGGCCACTAAGTCAAAAGCAGAGGAGAGGAAATGGATTTGATTTGTTTCTTAAATACTTGTTTTTTTTCTCCTTATCTTTACCTGGTAAGAACTCCATGCTCATTAACTCTAGTATTTTATCTGCTCTTCTAAACCCAGATTTTCCTACATTTGTCAAATGAAAGGTTTTCTACCATATGAATTGGATACTTTATGAATGTAGGTCCTTTCTTATTCTCAGAACTCTTCTAAATGGAAGGTTAACTTGGCAGAATATGTGTACATGGATTAATATTCCTAATATAAAAATTATGTTTTTCTTATAGCTAAAAAAGAGGATAGAATTATCTTTAATAATTGAAAGTTGGTTATATAATCTTTATTTTAAGCTTTCCAAATCTCTTTAGCCATCTTATTAATTTCCTATTTGCAGACCCATGTTTATAGGAAATATGCTCTATGATTGAGTTAAACTCTTATTTTGTTTCACTTAGGGGATATACAACTTTGCTTTTTACCTCTCTGCCACTAGATTAGCTTTGTGTAGTCCTCTGTCTCGTCTTAAGCAAGAAGTAGCAACATTCTGTCAAAGAGCTGTGTCTGATACGTTGATGACAATTAATCGGATGGAGCAGGCACGCACAGAATACAGAGGAGCTCTGCTGTGGATGAAAGATGTATCTCAAGAACTGGATCCAGATACTTTAAAACAAATGGAAAAGTTCCGAAAAGTATGAAAATATATTCGTTTCCTTTTCTTGATACATAAAATATGGAGCTGATGCAGAATAATTTAATGAAGATTATAATATTATTTTTAAAATCTGTTTTATTATAAATTCTTGGTTGCTTGAAGATTTTGGTTAAGGTATAAAAGGTCATGTTTCTATTTTTAAGTCTTTGGCATTTCCCTATCAACCTTTGTTATGAATTTTTTATTCACCTCATAATAGATCTAAGTACACTTATTTTCCTTTTTTGGTGGTACTGGGGACTGAATCTAGAGGTATTCTACCACCGAGCTACACCCCAACCCCTTTATATTTTTCATTTTGAGACAAGATCTCACTAAATTGTCCATGCTAGCCTTAAACTTGTGTTCTTCCTACCTTAGCTAGGAGTATGGGTGTTGTATCACTGTGCCCCAGTTCTGTTTATACTTAAAATATTACTTACCAGTGGGCCAGGGATTTAGCTCAGTGGTGCCGCTGCCTGCCTTGCAATCACAAGGTCCTGTGTTGAATCCCTAGGTACAAAAAAAAAAAAAATTGCTTATTTGGACTTTTAACAATTATTTGCAGGAAGAAAATAGTTATTATTGAGGAAAAATACATACTTTAAGTAAAAACTTTTGTAAAATTATTATTCTAAAGAAAAGTGGCTATCACATTTTTATTAATGAAATAAAATTTGAATTAATCAAATATTTCATTTTGTCAAGTTTTTTCATTTTATCACAATATAAAATTTGACCACAAACCTTGTAAGTAACTATTTGTGGACTTTTTTTGCTAAATAAATTCCTCATTATAAATTATAGCCCCTAGATTTATCATATATGGATATTAACATTAATTTCAGATTCATTTAATAAAGACGCTATTATAAGACTTGTAATTTACCCTTTGCCAGCTGTTGTAAGTGGTTTTTCTCACTGATTATTCCCAGCAGGTTGACCACAACCACCTCTTACTCTCTTTAATAAGTTAGAATTCAGTCCAAGGGAGTGAGTGATTGCACAACATTCTGAATGCACTAAATGCCATTGAATTTTACACTTTAAACGGTTAACTGTGTTTTTTGAATTTTACCTTAATTAAGGAAAACAAAAGAAAACAAGAATATAATCCAGGGCCAGGGATTTAGCTCAGTGGTCCCGCCTACTGCCTTGCAAGGCCAAGGTCCGGACTTCCCCAGTACCAAAAGAAAAAGAGAGAGAGAGAGAGAGAGAGAGAGAGAGAAACAGAGAGAGAGGGGGGGGGAGGGAAGGCGGGAAGGAGGGGGGGAGAGAGAGAGAGAGACAGAGAGAGAGAGAGAGGGAGAGAGAGAAAGAGAAAATATACAATTCAAATTCCTATCTGGACCAAAAATCTGTGTGATGTGAACCAGCCTTGGCTTGTTCTTGCTTCCTTCCTGTGCTCCAGGAAGAATATGCTCTGCCCTATTCCTTCCTCTTTTCTACACTTGATAATTTGTTTACCCACTCCTGGGACCTTTGTCCTTGATGTGCCCCCCAGAGTTAGCATGGCCTGCTCGTCATCTTTTTTTTTCTGTTAAAACCTTAGTGAGCATAAAGCCTTCCCTGGTCATTTTTTTAAAAAAGTAGTCACCCATTTCTATTTCTGTTCACTTATTCACTGTCTTTGTGACCTGAGATTATTTTATATATTTATATAGTTCTTTTTTCCTGTGCCTCCTTTCCCAAGGATGGTGGGTGAAAACACTGTTTTGTAGGTATTCTAGTACCTAGAGCAGTGGTTTGTGCAAAATAGACACCTTATGAATATTGTTGACTGAATAAATTTAAAAGGTGAGTGTTGTGCTCACTTCGGCAGCACGTATACTAAGAGTTGAGTGTTTACCTGGTGATATCTAACTCACTCTAGATCTAAGAAATATGCTTGTCTTTAAAATTATAAATATCTGGGCTGTGGATTTAGCTCACTGGAGCCACCGCCTGCCTTGCAAGCTCAAGGTCCTGAGTTCAATCCCAAGTACCAAAAATAAATAAAATTATAAGTATCTCCATGATTCAGAAATACTGCTTTCCACCATTTTAATTAGGTCCCCTTTCTATTTATTCCTTTGCTCTTAGATAATTTGGAATATTTTTCCTTATGAGATATATAATTTCCATCTGTCTTCTCATATTAAAGATATCTACTGGAAAGAATTTCCTATAATCGATGAAAGTAACCAAAAACTTCATTATTAATCATGGACTATTAATAATACAGTGAAAAGTAATTGTATTATTTATTAGAATTCCATATGTGTGAAAATATTTGTTATGAACCTGTGTGGTATATTTTTATCTGTATTACTGACAATAATAATTAACATTTTTATGATTGCAGGTTCAGATTCAAGTGAGAAATAGTAAAGGTTCTTTTGACAAGTTGAAGAAGGATGTTTGTCAGAAAGTGGATTTGCTTGGAGCTAGTCGCTGCAATATGTTATCTCACTCACTCGCTACCTACCAGGTACCCACCTCCATGGTTAGCATGTCCTTGTTGTAAAGATGAGTGGTGAGATTCCTTTTTAAAGCTGGCTAAAGTGTGCCAGAAATTATATAATTGATCATGTTTCTTTGACTGTGCTATAATTGGCTTACTGAGGTTATAACAGAGAATAATAAAGTTCTAAACTAAGAAAAACCTTAGAGATTGTCTATTCCAGTAACTCATGTTACCCTCCTTGGTGTCCTAAGAAGGAGAGAGACTGAGGGACCATCTGAAGTTAAAATGAGAATGCTGTAGAGGCTAAATACAAGGCCCATTAGCCCCAGTTCACTCAGAGCTGCTCAACTTCTGGTTTTGAACATCTCCATGCAATTTCATTTGAAGCAAAGATACTGTGGCCCAAAGAATTTGAAAGCTTTTCTATCATTTAATAAATGAGGAAAGTGAAACCTATGGGAATGAAAGTAAATGGCAAGGTTGAGTTTAAAAAATATTTTTTCTAATTCTAGGTTTTATGTTCTTTTCTTTCTGCCAAGTTGCCATTTTTATACACTAATCTCAGAAATCTCACTTGTGCTTACATTATCCTGTTATATATAGATAATATACAATTAATAAGTTAGACATTAATAAGTAGTAGTTACCTTAACATATATTTGTAAATAGCAAAATGTAATAACCTATACCTGTATAAGAAAAGAACAGGGCCAGGGATTTAGCTCAGTGGTGCTGCCACCTGCCTCACAAGTGGAAGGTCCCGAGTTTGATCCTGGTACCAAAAAAAAAAAAAAAAA